ATAAAACGTTTTCTCATGAAATCAGACATCTTGCTTTCTCCAAGCACAGGTCAGCGTCTGACTCTGAATCTGCTCCTGTTTCACAGCTCAGCAGAACAGTGAGTACATAGTTACTGAAGGTGGATCACTGAGATGCAAGAGTATTATTCACGTTGTTGGTGGGAATGACGTGAAGAGATCAGTTTCCTGTGTTTTGGAAGAATGTGAACAACGGAACTACTCATCCATTTGCCTACCAGCCATTGGCACAGGTCCGTAGCTGCAGGCTGTCAAGGTTCCATTCCAAAGTGTCCACTTCCCCATGGATTTGGTGCTCACTGGGTCTGGGTGATGACAGGGACACCTTCCCTAGGAGTAGACAGTTTCCTCACTCCAAGGTTCCCCATCTACTAGGAAAAGAGCAAAGCCTGCGGGATCTTTAAGAAAGAGAAAAATGAGCAGTGTGCATTTATGTGCACCTGTGTCTCCAATGATGGTCAGGACAGAGGCAGGAGGAGTCACCTGTGTCCCCCAATTGTCTACAAGTTTAGTCAAAGGCATCTGCTGTAATTTCCTGCCCCAGTGGTGGGCACCATTAACAGGAATAATCCAGATGGACTCTCAGTCTATCAAACCAGCTTTCCCAGGAGACTTTTACACTGCCTGTCATGTGACTTTGACAGCTGCCATTCACTTTGGGCTATTCCACAGTCTTACCTTGCATTGGGTTCCAGGGCTTGAGAAACAAGATCTGAACATGGTGAAGATAGGAGTGGATCTACTCAGTGGTGATTCGAATTCTGCTGGGGAGCTAAAATGGTACAGAGTATGGGGAAGAAAGACATCCTGGAGGCTCAGGGTAACTAATATACCTAGAATTATAGACTAGAACAAGTAGCTTACGGTTCTGGGTGCCTTGGAATTACCTTAGTTTGAATCAGGTCCCCAGCAGTAGCCGGGAGAATCTCAACACATGGATAAAATCTAGTAGAGGCTCAGATTGTCTCTGTAAGAACCATGTTGTTTCAAGGTGTTTTACCTTTTTTTCTTTCCTTCTTTTACTATCTTTTGAAAACTCTAGTATATCAAGTGGGGAAGTCCACTGAACTCTGTAATGGGAAGGGAGTGACCCTGGGAGCCAGGACCAGCTGAAAAGGACAGATGTGAATGTCGCAAATCAGAACAGGCTTCAGGGTCTTGTCCTGAAGTGTTGACCTTCGGACAGCATGGAATAGAAACACCTCCCCACTGTGCCTAGGATGTCAAAACTATGATGATGTCATGTTAAAAAAATATACATAGATTAAAGTTGGACTATGCATTTTTCTTTCCTGTGACATCTGGAATTCCTTGTTTATGTAGCAGCCTTTTGCAGGTGGATCTTATCCTTGTCTTTTGTGTTTGTTTTAAAGGAAGTGCTCAACAGGACCCAGATGCAGTTGCTAAAGCCATAATGGATTCCATTGAAGAATTTATCCAGAAAACATCAGTGCGGGCTGTGAAGAAAGTCAAAGTTGTTATCTTCCAGCCTCATATCCTGAGTGTTTTTTATGACAACATGAAAGACAGAGAAGGCTCCCCAGCTCCTCCCCAGCCGTCTCTACTGTCTAAGATCACCTGTGAGTTGTTCACTTTTATCAAATACATATTCCTCACCTTGATGCTGAGGGGAGTAAAAGAAAAATTAATTTTCATTTTCTCTTTAGCCTTTTTTGGCTTTTCAAAGCACACTCCGCACAAACAGGAGACCCTGTTTTTGGAGAAGAAAATAGAGCAGACAGTTTTCCAGGTATGTGGCATAGATGAAGACAGTGTGGAACGCACGATCTCCTGGATACAGAATCTGATCAACAAAGAGCAGCTACCCTATAGCAGTGTTGATGAGTGTGTCAGAGACTTTGGTGAGAAGGAGTACAAGAAGCTGAATGAGCTGCAGGAGAGGCTGAATATCGTCATTGAGCTGGACAAGAAGACACCTTTGATTAAAGTTGCAGGAATCAGCAGAGATGTGATGGGAGCTAGAGATGAGATTGAAAACCTGATCAAGAGCATCCGGTTGGCTAAAGAGAAGGAAAGCCAGGCAGACTATGTCCTCTCATTCGTGGAATGGCGATATATTGTCAACAACGTCACACACTGTTTCGACAAAATGACTAACATGCAGTTGGAGAACGCACGGCAGGCAAAGCACAGGAGCACTGTTGTCAAAATTAATAATCAGGACTTCACAGTGAACTTGAGGACGAACATGGCCACAGGCCCTCAAGGACAGAGTGTCACAGTTCAGCGCATCTTAAAAGATGAAGGTAAGTTACATGGATGTGAGTGTCAGCCATTGCCCCAACTCTGAGTTTTACATTATGTAAAAACACAGTGGGGTTTTGTTGTTGTTGTTTTCTTTTTGTTTTTCAAAATAGATTTTCTCTGCATTAGAGCCCTAGCTGTCCTGGAACTAGCTCTTGTAAAGCAGGCTGGCCAGGGACGCACAGAGATCTGCCTCTGTCTCCAAAGCGCTGGATTAAACGCATGAGTCACCACCACACAGCTTGTTTTATTTTTGATAGTTTTATTATGCAGCCATTGCTGATCTGGAACTCACTCATTCTCTCTCTCTCTCTCTCTCTCTCTCTCTCTCTCT